TGTGTGTGTGTGTGTGTGTGTGTGTGTGTGTGTGATATTTGTCACGGCGGCGTGAGAAACGTCATGGCGGCGACAGGACGCCGCAGGAACGCAGAGCGGCTGACCTCTGGACGGCCTCTGCAGGCTGACTCAGTTTGTAACGAACACYGAGGCGTCGTCTGCAAACCTGATGACGGAGGCGGAGGGCGGGGCTTATCTGGTTAAATAAAGGYTTAATAAAAATAAARAGATTTCTGTGTTTCAGRCGTTTGGCGGGAAACCATCTGTCCTTCATCCCCAGAGGAGCGTTCGACGGCCTCTACAACCTGAAAGTTCTGTAAGTCCTGAACACTGGAGTCCACCTGCTGAAACACCTCTGATGCTCTTACTTCCTGGTTTGTGTTTTAACAGGATGCTGCAGAACAACCAGCTGAAATCAGTTCCTGCTGAAGTCTTCAACACGCTCCACAACCTGCAGTCACTGTGAGGAAATAAACTAAATATGCTTTTATTTTTTCAGTCCCACTGAGAGACCTCCTCACAAACATACACAAATACACTCAAATATACACAAATACGCTGCAATATACACAAATACATTCAAATACACTGCAAAAACTGTCCACCTTACCAAGTTTTAAAACCTTATATCAGCCAAAAAGTCTTTTTGATCTTGTTTTCAGACTGATTTACTAAACAAGAACTGATTGTGTAAGAATAATCATCTTGTTTTCAGAATGTGTAAGATTATTTGTCTTGTTCGTCTGAAAATTTGACTCTAATTAAGTCAAACATTTCTGCCAGTGGAGTAAGAACATTTTACTTGGTAAGATTCTTGAAATAAGAAAAAATTGAGTGAAATCAAGTATTTCAAGAATCTTACCAAGTAAAATTTTTTTACTCCATTAACAGAATATTTTGACTTAATTAGAGTCAAATTTTCAGACTAACAAGACAAATAATCTTACACATTCTGAAAACAAGATGATTATTCTTACACAATCAGTTCTTGTTTAGTAAATCAGTCTGAAAACAAGATSAAAAAGACTTTTTGGCTGATATAAGATTTTAAAACTTGGTAAGATGGACAGTTTTTACAGTGTATACACAATACACACAAACGCACAAATACACACAACTTAAGTCTCATTTTACTCTACGGTGGAAAGGAATCTCACCACACACACACACACACACACACACACACACACACACACACACACACACACA